AAAAATTAGCCAGGTATGGAGGAACATGCCTGTAGCCCCGGCTACTCAGGAGATTGAGACACGAAAATTGTTTGAACCCAGGAGTTTGAGGTTGTAGAGAGCTATGATGATGCCACTACACTCTAGCCTGGGAGACAGAGCAAGACTCTGTCTTAAAAAAAAAAAAAAAAAAATTCAAAATACAAATTACTAAAAATTAATGGCCATTTTTTTTGAGATTTTCATGCTTCAGAATGTTGTCTAAAAATGCTAGACAGAAAATGGTCCTATGTTTACAATTTTAGCTTAATGTTTCTAAAGCATATTCTAATACTATATGATAAAGTGAACTGTAAACCTGAATTCTATTGAATAGGGTTGTATATTAACTTTTCTATTAAAAATGCTGATAATTTCATGTTACTTCCTGTTTGCTTTATAGAATGACAGATCAAAATAAATCCATCTTGGTTTAAGAAGACACTCAATAAATGTTTACTTAATTCAACTTCTTTTCCCCTGCTAACAATGCCTTAAAAGAGGGCAATAGTACCTACCCATCATACTCCTCAAGGCAGTATAAAAACCTGCCTTCTGAACTTGGCATGTCCTTATCTATGTACATCCAGTTTAAATTAAAAACGGTAGAGTATGCCTAATCTTTCAAGCCAGAGACACACAGTACTGACAAACTGCTTTCAGAGGCAATGGTGTAATAAAATAACCTGTGGCTTAGAATCCCAAACTCCTGGGTTCAAATCTCAATCCAGCACTTACTAGCTTAAGTACCTTAGATCACTCACTTAACTTCTCTCAGCTAAAGCTTCTTTCTCAACTGTTTAAAAAAGAGAGGAGAGGTGATATTATGACGTAAGGCTCAAGTAGGATTATGAAATGTGGAAGTTCCCTGTAAACACTAAACCCCTGATGATAAGACATCAAGCACATCCTCACTTTTCAGAACAAAATAAAGTCCTGGGTATATGACATATTCTCTACCCCTGGAGTAGATGTCTTTACCTCTAAAAGAGGTATTAGGGCCCTTCCAGAGACTTCAAAAGCTGGGCTTCCCTCAAGGAGCAAGTAACTAAAGAGCTTACTGTCCTCAGGCTATTTCAGTGAGTTGTAGTCAGTTTACTAACAGCTTTACTCAAATTTTGTGACCACTGGTTCTTTCAGATCTGGTTACATGGACCTATTCCCTTCCCACCTTTAGACTCCTCTACACCACAAGATCTTTATAAGCTAAATTTCTTTTAAGGACTAATGGCTGAAAAAAAAAAAACTGCTTTTTTTTCCCCCCTCCCCATCTGGGAAAAACCAAGCAAGAGGAAATTAGGTAAAAGTAAAGCAGAAAATATGCATTACCTTCTAAATTAGGAAAAAAATAAATATAACATTAGAAAACTAAAATGTAAATTATTCTGGTTGGAAATGAGAAAAATTTTTCATGGTCTCCTAAATGGGGATTAGGAAAAAATAAGCAATAAATGCCCTGGAATTATTAAAAAATTTGCCTCATGACAGCAGGAGAATAAACAAGATGAACTTCTGAGGCGGCATCTGCTTCTAAGATGTCAAACTAACATATATTCACTCACACCTTTACTGCTTTTCTATTCTAGTTTATTTTTTGTTTTATTTATTGTTGCTGTTTGCTGCTGCTGCTATTAGAGGGTGAGAAAAGTATTTTCTTGAGTTTTGTTTTCTGTGTTTTGTAGTTTTGGTACTATCAGTATGGAGAAAGACAAGTGTTTCACAAAAATAGCTGGATTTTTCTCAGCTAAAGCACTTCAGAGCAGGAAGTTTCTTGGAAAGGTAGAATAAAGAATAGAAGGATGCAGGGCTTTCTAAGCATTCATGGCAACAGAAAGGAAAGCAGAGATCTTCTAAGAGGGAGAGACATAAGGAGTCAAAACATGGGCTAACAGGTTTAATAAAGAACAGTCTCCTATAAAACTAGAGAAGGAGAGCAAGACAGTCAAGCGTATCACAAAACACTGCCCATTGCCAAGAAGAAAATTAAGGGAATATACAATTGTTGAAGGACAAGAAAGGATTAACAACCTCTGAGATCCTGTTTCTTCATCTGTATAATTAAGACTACACTGAGAATAGTCACGGAGTAACGTTAAGTCACAATGATTGGCCCATCATAGATCCTCAAAAAAGGGCAGTGCCTTCCCCATCACCTAAAGTCAATCACAGAATATTACAATGGAAAGGAAAGCTCAGGCATCACCTATTCATAAATAAATAAATAAACCAAATATAACCAAATGTTATAACCTGTGCAGAATTCCCATATTATAAAAAATTTAAAAGGCAGTCAGATAGTACTACACAATCTCAAAAGCCTTACCAATGTCAAATACAGATGAACAGTTGCAGTGGGAAAAAACTCTTTGCACTGCTGCAACAGGGGACTCCTTCCCTCACCAACATCAGGGCAAAAGGAGGTCCTCCTCCTTACATTTCTTCAAATTGGTGGGAAGGAAGTTTAAGTTTTCCCTCCTTGCCATGGGATTACAGATTGACAAGCAGAGACAAATCTGTGCTCCAAGTTAGTCATAAAAATCAAAGCTGAAACTCAAAACATGTTCTCATAGGAACAATGATAATGGTTAAATTTTCAGGCTAACCCTCACAGCAATTAAACAATGCAGCTAAAATGTCATTTTAATTGACTATTTTGCTCATTATAAATACAATATTTAAGCTATTTTATAGAGTGAACAGGATTTTATGAAAAGGCCTAAAAGTGTAGCCCTAACATGCTTATGGAAAAAATTTGTTCTGAGTTTTAAACAATTTACACAAAAACTTTTAGACCATAACCAAGGAAGGGACAGTAAAAGAAAGCTGTGAGAAAAATAGGGAGAGAGTTGCCCGGTTTGGCAGAAAAGACATGTGAATTATACTAAACCACATCTGCTAAGGAAATGTCTTCAGAATAACTGTCTCTTTCAGTTAACAAGCATCTAAGTCCTGCCCTGTACCCAACGCTGTCCCCCTCCACACGGAATAACAATTTTTCTAAAGCTAAACACATGGTCCCAGGAATGCAAGAATTTCATTCGATCTTGCTGAGTAAATCACACCCCAAATCATAGTGCTTTGAGATTCACATACACCTACCTTGATCACCCTGCATTGGCTCTGTCCCAGAACTAATACACTTAGTATTACCATTAGTTTAAGTACTAAGGGGAAAAGAAGAAACTAACATTTAATAAGCACTGGATATGCTCTCATTTGATTTTGACGACCTTGTGAGATAGCTAAACATTATCCCCAATTTACACATTAAGAAAATGATGTTAAATAACTTGCACACCGCAGCAGTAAAGAAAAGCCAGGACTCCGAATTCCATCTTTTCCATTACTCAGAGGTTCCTCCCCAAAAAGGAAAGAAATTAATCACTTAGATGCTACCGGACAATCGACCACTTTCACATCAATTACTTGTTATTCTAGTTAAGCAATTCTGAAAGCAAGTTATGGAGAAAAGAAAACATTAACTCCTCATTTCACAGAATCAACTCAGTATTTGGGGAATGCTTAAGAGAAGGGGTAAAATGTCCCCAGAGGTGAATCCTGGCTCTTTGCATCATTTCCCAACTCCTTCTAGACAAAGACTCTAGAAGGAGGGCTCCTTTTATCACTTCCATCCTACCATAGCTAATTTTTTCAGAAAGGTTATCTTTCAAAACAAGATTTTCTACCAGCATTGAAGACCTCTGTGCAGGTCCTTAAATGTAAGTAAACTTCATTTTGACATGACTATTTCACATAACTTGCTTGTATCACAAAATATTCCAAAACATTTGTTACCACTGCAGTTTAAAAAGTTATTTTGTAGTGAATTGTGAACTAAATCTTGATTAAACTGCAGTAAAATTGGAAAACAAAAATCTATGTTTAGACAGATTTCCTATCCAAAATTTTCCATTACAAGCTTGGGGAATACAAAAAAAAACCTGTACACTCAACATTTTAAATGTTTCTAACTGAACAAGATGATAGGTGACTTAGAATAACGCAGTGTGGCTTAACTCTCCTATCATGTAGTTGTCACAAACACTGACATTGTAAAAGTAAAACTAACATTCAATTCCTTAAATTATTGGATGTTCTTTTAAAGAAATTGAATGTTAAAAGAATTATTTAGCTTCTGGAGTTTAACACTCATAACAGATAAAAAGAGGATTCTAAGAGGAATAACGGTCTCATCTGAAAACAGGGGTTTTTAAAAAACAAAACCGTTTCTATAAAATACCTAAACTTAACATTGATACATGTCAAAAAACACTTCCCATTTTAAGATAATTACTTCTAATACTGAAGGCAAAACAAATTAAAACGGATGAAACATTTCCAGTCAAATGTCTGCAGAATTTTGAACTGAGAAAATGATGTCAACGTTTTCATCTTTTTTTTGTAAGGTTCCAGTCCAAAATTAAACAGCCATCAGGTTCATCAACTCAGGTGCAGAAACTCACTAAATTCGGGGTTTTGGAGCGAAGAAAACAGATTCCCTGAATTTGACTTCTTGAGTAAAACTGCCCTGTGCCCTACACCAGAAACAGTCCACCGCCCGGGCCTCGCCCGCCCCTCCCGCGGGCCGCACCTGCCGAGGCCGCGCCGCCAGCGCCCCCTGTCGCCCTCAGCGCACCCGGAGGCCCGCGCCCACTCCCGCCCCCGCACCGCCCCCCCACCCCTGCGCCGAGGCCGCGCAGCCTGCGGGCAGGGGCGGGGGCGCAAGGGAGCTAATCGAGGCAGGGCCCGGAGCTCGGGCGCGTCCTCTGGAATCCCAGCCGCAGCCAGGCCGAATCCTCACCTACCTACGCCGTATTTCTCCTCCTCTGTGGGGGTCCACATGGCCGGGCCGGGCGCGGCTCCGCGGGCGCGGCGGCCGGGCGACAGCGCGGCGAGGACGGCCGCGGGCCCGGCTGTGGCGCACCGCGAGCCGAGGCGGGGGCGGTCAGGCGGCGCGGGGCAGTGGGCGGCGCATCCCTCACAGGCCGTCCGGGATGCCACTGCTACCGCCGCCACGTCTGAACCGCAAGGCTCCGTGGGTGGCGCAGCAGCCCCGGGCGACGCGGGCGAGGGCTCGTCACCTGTCCGTCGCCGCCGCTCCCGCGCCGGGTCTCGGTTCCTCCCAGCACCGCGGCTCCGCTCCCCGCGCCGCCGCGGCTCGGCTCGCCTCAGCGGGCTCGCAGGACGCCCGCGCATGCGCCACTCCCTGCCGCGCAGGGGCTCGCGCAGCCCGGGCTCGCGCCGCCCGAGCCCGCGCGCCAGCGGAGGGAAATCTGCGAGAGGCGATTGGACCTGCTGGCACCCGCAAGACAGGCTCCTCCGCCGGCTGGGGGCCCTCAGACGCAGCTAACTCTGGAGCGGGCGAAGCTGGGCAGGTGGGCAACCCCCTTGAATCCCCACCAGCTTCCTCTTCCATTGCCTCTGGCCAGGGGCACGGAGATGACCACGGGCCCCCAGGTCGGAGAGGGGAGATACGGAAAAGGAGGAGACGACACCATTTTCAAACCCATCCCATTTTCACCCACAGTCGTGTCATGGCCATATCCTTGGTAAGGTTCCCAAGCCACCGTGCGCTTTCCCAGGGCCTGCCGGAGGGGTGCATTCCTGCCCCTCGCTCCTGGACGCTCTCCAGGCCGAGGCCGCTGACACCTCCTGGGTTCTTGCTTCACTAAGTAGGCCTGAGTGGTTAATATTTGAGACCTGAACAATCACAGGAGCCTTCCTAGTAAGGAAGCACTTCCTCATTGGGCTCTGAGGGTTCCTACCCAGGGCACTGCCTCCTATGTGTTCCTGAGTAGTTCTGGTTCTGACCCGAAATTTTCCTTCTCTCCCTCGTCCCTAAGAATCCATTTACTCTGATATCTACAGATGTCACCTTGTGATCCCAAGTCAACCCCCTCATCAAAGACCAGGAACTGCAGGACTTCGCCTTTCCACCTACATCTGGACTCACATGGTGTTCCCAGCTCTAATCCCAGCAGATCCATTCATCTCTATCACCAGCACTACCAAGTCAAAACCCTGGTGTCATCCCTCACGTCTTGGCCAGCCCCACTCTTAAAAGTACAACTGAGCACCTCACCTCCAGGAAGCCTGCCCTGACCCAGCAGCCAGCCCACTGGATCCTTCCCTCTTTTTTCTGGGATTCCAGATGTGTTCAGTTTGTGTCTTATTTCCCTCATAAGACTGTCAACTCCCAGAAGGCAAACTCTAAGCTAAAGTCATCTTTCTGGTCCCTCAGCACCCAACCCAACATCTGGTGTATGGGTGTTGAGTGGAAAGCAAGATTAATACAAGGATATTTTGGCAATTAACAGATCTTGGGTTTTTTGGGGGGGAGGTTGGTTTGTTTGTTTTTTGAGACAGTCTCACTCTGTCACCCGGGCTATAGTTCCCTAGCGTCAGCCTAGCCCACAGCAACCTCAAACTCCTGGCCTCAAGCAATCCTTCTGCCTCAGCCTCCCAAGTAGCTGGGACTACAGGCATGTGCCTCCAAGCCTGGCTAATTTTTTCTATTTTTAGTAGAGACGGGGTCTTGCTCCTGCTCAGGCTGGTCTTGAACTCCTGAGTTCAAGGGATCTTCCTGCCTTGGCCTCCCAGAGTGCTAGGATTACAGGTGTGAGCCACCACACCCAGTCACAACAAATCTTGTTGATTCTTCCTTCAAAGTGTCCTTTATCAGGCCTGGGAAGAGGCCTGACCGTATTCACCTGGATTATTGCCACCCCCTCCCACCTTCTGATTTATAGGCTCCTCCCCCCACCAATGAAAGGTGCCCACTCCTGCCCAGAAAATGTCTGTTCTGTGAATGTTCGCATTTCTCAACAGCCAGATACACTTCTGTCTTTTTTTGGAGGCGGGGAGTATGAGGGGGTTGTTCCAGGAACATAACAAAAGAGATGTCTTTATATATGTAGCTAACTGTTTCAGGAAGATAGACCCCTACCCAATGGCCACCATGGAATGAAGCCACAGTCCCACAAAGCTCTCTCCAGAGAGCTATCCAGCAAGTGGGGCTGAGCTACACAGGCCTTCTGAACAACCTTAAAGCTCTTATTTCATCCTTTAGTTCCACTACCTTGTCTGATGTGCATGATGACAGTCACAGAGCCTAAGGGCCAGTTTTTACAAAGTTTACTCTTTTATTCCCAGTCTGAATCCATCTTAGATGACGGTTTTCCCAGACAAAGAAAGTCCCACTCCATGACTGCATACCTCAGCTCCAGGATGAGAGGTCAGTAAGCCCAACCAGGGAAGGGAAAAGAAAGGGAGACAAGGTGAGAAAGAGGGCATTTGATAAGTCCTAGACTCCTACACTCTTGCTGTTTGTACTAAATTTAGATTGTTTTCTTGAGTTGAAGCAAAAGAGCATAGCACATGTTGTAGAGACTCGGCCTTCAGCAGGACAATGCACCTGCTCTCCTATCCCCCTAGCATCTGGTCTGAGCCCTTCCTTCCTCCCGTTCTCAGTCCACTCGACATACCCCACACACACCTTCCCAACACATGAGCTAACTTCCAGCTTGCTGCTGAAAATCAGGACCCTCAGCACACTGACCTCCTCCCCTCTCTACCCACACTTCCTTGTATTCTCGCCACCTCCCAGGCTCACTGCCTACTCCTTCACAGGATCCCCAGGAACCCACCATGCTATTGTTGCCCCATCTCCCATTTTCACCCTATCCTGCTCAACAGGCTCCTTCTACAGTCCCAGGAACACCTGCTCTGTCAGTACCCTCATCCCTCTCTTCCTCCTCTCTCTGTGTGACTTCAAAGGAGAATCATCCACTCTAAATCCTTTTATTTCAATGTAATTAATCTGATTATCAGCTGAAAAGTTCTGGTTTCTGACCTCATCACCTCCTGGAAACTGCTCTCCCAGAACTCTGCAGGGCCATCCCAATTTCAGGCCATTCCCTGACTCTGGCTAGGCCTTTGCATACATTATCCCTCAGCCCAAGTCTTCTCCTCTCTTGGAACCATGGATTTGCCTCACCTTCCAAAGGCTGTCTTATGGCTACTTCCCCAGGAAGCCTCTCAGTTCAAGGAGCTTTTCCTCTCCCATTAAGTCCTTTCCTGTAGCACTTACTCACCTTACCCTCCTCTAAGAGACCAAAGGTGTTTGCCTTGCACGTGGACAAACATTTATTTCCTTCTTCAATGGCAAAGATTGATCTTTATTTATTTTTACCCCATGCAGAGACTAACATAGTGCCTGCCACCTAGCAGGAATTTAACATATACTCCAGTAAATGATCTGCCTGTATGTTTACTGATACCATAGTGAAATAGATTGGAAAAGAAAACTGGGATATTTACCTCAGCAAGTTACAAATCTCTAAATTCAGAAGCTTAATTAAATTTCCTTGTTATAGGCACATTGGTTTTAATTTAAAAATTCATTGATACATCTTGAGTAGCTATATAAAAGATAAAATTCGTGGAGCAAGAAACAAAGAAGTCTGCAAACAGTTTCACTTATCACCATTACTTTTGGGCTTAACTCATTACCTTAGATGACAAACTGCAATTTAATGGGTGAGGAAGGAATCAAGTTTTCAGCAGGAAATTCTTTAAGACTAGTAGCTATCAAAAATAGCCTATAACCAAAAAAATTTTGTAAATAATGTACAGGAAATGCAAATAGCATCATCTTTTTTTCTTAAATGGAATTTAAGTTGATCAATAATTTTTTATCATAAGCAAACTCCATAATGTTAAATGCCCTATCACCTTTGGTGAATGAGACTGGCTCTTTACAAAGCTCAATGAGCTACAATTCACATCTTCTCTCCTTTCTGCTGCCTGGAGAATCAGAAAGCAGCATTTAAGGAGCCAGCCGGTCTGATGACTCAGCTCATAAAACAATGTGTGGCCACAAAGATGATGTTTATCCAGGAGCATTCTGGAGGCTCTTGCTACTGAAGTCAGCAAGCAGTGGGTAAGTGGCACATGATGCTCATTCTCTCAAGATTTTCTGGCAGCAGTGCCAAAGCAGCACTCACTTCCCTCTCCCAGTGGTTGATCTCATCTAATGCTCTGTCAAAGTGGAATGGTAGGAAAACTTCAGAGAAAGATAGTGGGTATAGAGGCAAATCCAAGCAAAGTGCAGGTGAGCAGTGACATTCTGCCTTCTCTTGATCAGGAGGTAGCAACAGCTAGAGCTTATGCCCATACAAGGCCCAGGGGCAGGTGAATGGAAGGCTCAAGAACACATGTTACGCAACTTATCTGTGCCCTTCCAGGTTCCCTCAAGGAGTGGGTCTGCTCTGGTTAGTGAAAAATCTGCAGAGCTAGTTTTCTTCATGGCAGAGGAGACACCCAAGCTAGTCTCACTTCACCATTGCCTCTTATTTTACCCCCAAAGCAACACCTTTTAGGAAGCTTCTTTTCAGAAGGAATAAAGGGCTAACACAGAATAGGTTAACATAGAGATGGCTGACAAAGTTAGGGTGCTTTCAGGTGAAGAGACCTAAAGTGACTAAGAAGATATTATTAGTATTTTGCTTTAAATTTTCTTGCATCTGAATATCTTTGCAGTAGGGAGGGGATAAAAAAGAGTGTGAAAGAGAGACAGATTAAGCAGTGCAATATTTTATTATTTTCCCCAAAATGACAAACTTTAACCATCTGTTCCTATTTTATCAACCCATTCAAAATATTATTAAAATGTGGATTCCTTACAGTTAGCCAGGGTCTTCAAATGAGAAATGATCAAAGCTCCCCTGATACCAACTCCTGGAAACTGATGTGGCACTTCTAGATGGTCCGTAGCTATCAAGCCCCACTATGAGAAACACCCCTAGATGTGTCCAGCTGTGTCATAGAATCCTTGGCACTTCCTTCCTGTCCTCCTGAAGACTGTGAGCTACCTGGAGACAGTGCCATGTTATACTCTTTTTTTAGTTTTTAGTGTCTAGCACACAGGATCTGACATATAGTAGATGCTCAGTAAATATTGTTTAAATGAATACATTAGTAAATGAGTGCTTTTATTTTTTTCCAGAAATTTATATCTTTGTTCCAATAAGTTTTTTGTTTGTTTTTTGCTTATTTGTTTTCTGACCAGGAAAAAGGGAAGAGATAGAATCAAAAACAAGATACGCCCTGGAAGGAAGGGCAAATAGATAGAAACTTGGCATTAACTAGTTCTCCTTTCCCTTTGGGGGAAATAATCATGCCCTTGAATTTCTTCA